CTGAAAAAGTTCTGTTGCTTTGGGGTTGTAAAGCACGTTTGGGGACCCGGGTGAAGGCGAAACAGACCTTGAAAGTGTTTAGCACATGAGTTGGACGGGAAAATTCTTAGGAAACGGGCTGGGAAAAAATGCTAACATGGAGGGGCAGGGAGAGAAAACTGAGTAAGGGGCAGTGACTGTCAGTCTAGCCAAGGTCGAGTGCGACCGGTTTTGACAGACTGTAAATGGAATTTTCATGGCTCTTCTTTGCAAACAGTAAAATAAATATATCTTGAAAATAAATGCAGGATTAATTTTGCATTGTCTTTTCCCACTTAAAACTTTCACAGTTGTTTAGTTTGCCCTGTAGGAAACTTGACATTGGGAAAGTTTGGCACGAATGCATCCAAGGAAGGTACATCGTGCGTTTCAGATGTGAGAAAGAAGGCATCTGCAAAATTAAAACAAAAGGTTGTAAAATATGAACTGAGGAAGAGCCGTATTCTTTGGCTCTTAAATGATCTGGCCACAGTTCAGTTCAGAAGGAGGGGGTGGGGCTATGTGCAACTCGAAAATATCGATTCTTTGTCTATTGTATCAGAGACTGACCCTCTTCTAAAGTGACAAGACGCCTCTTTGTAATCTCTTTTCGTAAGTAAATTTCAGTCTAAGGGGAAATCCATAGAATAGGGCAGCGAGGTGGCTTTTTACGAATGTAAGTCGTTGTACTGTCACTGGGAGAGAAGAAAGGAGTTAAGAGAAGGGTACAGATGAATTCGATTCCAGCGAGCAGAGTTTGTAGAGCAATCTGGACGGGACCTTCGCCTTTGACACCATTGCTATTTCGAATGAACTTTTGTTTTTCTAAGTAGTCAACTAAGGAAATGTTAAATTTGGGATGACTTTAACATCTGATATCATGGTTCACATATTTGTGTGGAACTTAAATATTTAAATGGGAGAAGGTTGTGGGGTTTTAAAATATAACTGTACATTTGCTAAATATCTTTTTTTTTTCTTTTTAAGGGCAACCAAGGACGTTTTTCTCCATTAATCCCAAAAATCAATGTAAAAGTTGTAAATAACACAACCAAAACAAGATGGAATTTAGAGACGCTTAATTGTATATCAATTTAGGGAGTGGGTTTATCATTATTAATAACTTTGTTTACCATGACAAAACTAGTGTATTTGGTAACACTGGATTGCAGTCTGGTGTGATGAATTTTGTGCTTAGTCACATTAAATACTCTGCATATTTCATTAACTAATAAATAGGACACGGTATCATTGTACTGGTTTTGAAAAACACATAATTTTTAAATGAACCAAAACACTAAGCAGTCTTGGATGTGTCTATCACTTGTATTGCAATGTATTTTAACTTTCAAAACCATTAGAGTTTTGTGCTGGATTTGTTGTTTTAACTTTCAGGTTTGTGATTGAGGGTGACAGAGTAGTTTCTTCTGTGCTTAATTGACTATTTCGTTTAAACAGTAGGGTGGGGGTGGAGGATACATGTAACTTATTGCTAATGTGTGTCCATTTTAAAAAGGAAAAAGAGGAATCTAATGAGTTAACCATTAAGGAATATACACAGTGCTGGCCATTTCAAGACATGAAAGAGTTTCTGTGGAGCTGCTTGAGACAGGAAGGAGTGATTTGACATGAAATATTTAAACATTTGGGTTGACGTTTTGATAGTTGACATTGAAAAGTATAAATTATAAATAAGTTCGAGTGACCAGTTTTATATGGAAACAGCCAGGTATTTCATCTAAGCACAGTTATCTCTTATTCTTTGATACCTTTAAAAATAACTCAAAGCAGGGTGTGTGCTATACAAATGAAACACAAGTGGGTTAAAGAGAACATCTGATGTTCGGATGGGCAGATCTGTATTTCCCAGCTATGTATATGTTAGAATCAGCTGAAGCTGCCAGAGACATTTTGGTGATCTCCTTTAAGTCAATAAATGAAAAGTTTTGTGTGTTTTTTTTTAATGGAGACATTGAAATGAGACAGGATTTCTAATATGCAGAAAGAAGTTTCATTAAGACTTTGAAGGTGGCAAGAGTGATCCAGAAATGTTGCCAAACTGCCTCAATGTATTTGATCTTATTACTTTCAGAGGTAAGATTCTTTTCCACCCTAATTCCTACCTCCCCTCCCACCCATCTGTTTTTCATTTCTACACTTTTCCAAGATTTATCCTATGGGAAAAGAAATTGAGAGTCACACCCTTCGCTCCACCTGCCGACCCTGGAAACCAAACGGTGAAGTTCTAAAAAGTACGTCTATTTGGAACGAAATGTCTTCGTCATAGGTTTTGCTTTATTCTTCGCCAGTGGGCGGGGCGGAATGGAGCTACCTTTCAGTCACCTTGTCTTCTCCACCTGCAGGCACCCCAGTGCGATCCCCCTTCAATCACTCCGAGGGGATGCAGCAGCAATTCATGTTTTGAAGTGCTTTAAAAGGTTCAAAACGTGAGGCGCTGCTATACCCCCTCGCGAGGAATTTGGAAGGTGGGTTCTAATGGACGTGTGTTTCTCTGAGGCGATGGCTCCCAAGGCCCGCTTAGCAGCAGGTATGTGGGCAGGGGCTTTGGTTTTGATTCCTCTTCACTTAGCGCCTTTCCCTGCCTCACAAGGCGCCACCAAAGTCGGAGGAGAGTGACACTGCTCTGCAGGGGCTTGGGGCGTTAGGGGCACAGCGCGCGGGCAGTGCGCACCTAGGAGGGAAGTGGTGCCCGACTCAGCCGTGCCCTAGCAGCGGGAACACTACTGCAGTGGGCGATCGGTGCTCTGGAGTATTGTTTCTGCTGCCCGGGCAAGGCTGGGACTCCCGCACGGGCGCACCCACCAGGTAAGTCCTAGTGCAGCGCCCGCAGTGTCCGCCCTGGTCGCCGCTAGAGCCGAGTTAGCGCTTTGTTCTCCACCAAACGTTTGCCCGTCTTTGAATATGTAAATAGTGTAAATGGTAGATGCTTCGTTTTGGCACCCCTTTCCCTGCCCTAGGAAAATTTAAGCGATTGAAAAAAAAAATGCTTTCCTGATCACTTAGAATGCCATCCACACGACAAAAAGGAAGAAAGACTGCCTTCAGGCCCCAACGACTAAGTGGGGGCGGAGGGGGATTGTAAAAAGTAAGGAGGACTGGAAAGGGTGACCCACTGCAAGTAGTCCCCAGGCTGTTCTATGGCTCCTGGTAAATGGCCTAACGTCCTGTGCGTGGACAGGACTTTGGAGTCCAGGAATGATGAAAGTTTCTGGTCCCTACCCCTCCTGTCCCCCAAGTTGTGTTGGGGGAAGCTGCCATCGAGCTCCGGCAGCAGAGGATTCAGCGAGGTGCTGGGCCTTGCAGGCCGCTGACACCCAGGCAGCGTGGAAAGGCGCTGACCTGCAGGATCTAAGGCCTTCAGGGAGAACGGGGACCCTGAGGGTGGCTCCAGAATGAGGCTCTGCGTTTATAACTGCTTCTTGCCCTCTCCCCCAAATCCTAGTCCTGGAATTCTACTCAGGAGGCGCTGTCCCAAGGCCCCTTGGTCGCCCCGGGGACCTCACAGAAGGAATTGCCCTACTGACAAGGCTCTGGCTTGACATTTCCTGCGAAAATGGCAGCATCTCAGCTGTCGACTCGAGTCCTTCCTGCCTCCAAAACTCTGGGCACTGTTGCTAATCAGTGCTGCACAGCTGTCGACCTCTAAAGCCACCTCCGTCCCTCATTGGGGGTCCCAGTCGTCTAAGAGCTTGACAGCCGGCCTAGAAAAGAGAGGGCTCATTCCCTAGCTGAGGACTCCCTTTGCCTAGGAAAATCACTCAGATATTTATTTTTTTGACCTGGCGAATAGAGAGGTGGAGGACTGTTGGTGAAGACAAAGGGAGGTGTGGAACATTTCCATGCTTTATGTCCTCTTAAAAGAAATAAAACACAAAACCCCCTCTAGTCTGGATGGGCTGCCAGGACCTGATCCTCCCGAAGGCCAGGAGCAGCCCCCCGCCCCCAAAGGCTCGAGGCTGGGGGTGCAGGGGCCCCGAGCTGGGAGTCAGGCTCCGCAGTCTGAAACACCCGCTCTCCCAGACTCCCTTGAGCCGGGGGCAGGCGCCGGGCAGTTTGGGGCCCTTCCGGCCGCCAAGGACTCTCGAGCTCCTAGGGATGCCGCGACTCGGCGCGACCTTGACCAGGCCCAGCTCCCCGTGGCGGCCGCCTCCACCGCCACAGCCACGATCCCCAGGCTGGGAAGCTCTGGAGTGGGCTCCCGCCCTCGCCAGCCTGCCTAGGGCCCCGCAGGACCGCAATCCCCAGGCTTGGCAGGCAAACAGGTTCCCGCCCCCGCCTGTCTCTCTCCTTGGGGTTGGGCAGGCACCTCTAGGCTGCCCTCCTGCTTCTCACCAACTTCCCTTCTTCCTTTCTCCCAGCTCTGTACCGGTCCCCCTTGAGCCAGAAAGAGGTCAGGTGGCATGCAGCCCTCTGGGAGGACCAAGCCCGCGCCACCCGGCTCTCTCCAGTGGGTGCCTGCAGGACTCAGGTGAGAGACCCAGCGGGTTGGGGACCGCGAGGGGCAGAGGGCAAGGAGCAAGTAATCCTGACTAGGGGGCGTTGTCTTCCAGAAGCGCAGCGGCCCTTTGCCCAGGGCCCCCAAGAGGCGTCGAGATTGAGGGCGTCCACACAGCCCTCTGACTGCGTGGTGCCCTTTTCTGACTTAAAATAGTCATCTTGCACCATTATTCACGCGATCGAAGTTGCAGTGTGCCTAGATTTTCCTCCAAGGACAAAAATGTGAATAAAGCAATATTTCAGCCAAACATTTCTGTGTCAATTAAGAAGATGGCAATTCGTTCCAGACTATAAATTCTCTTTAACAACTCTCTAAGGTATTCTTTGAAACTGTTTTTCAACATTGCTAAATGTGCATCATAATGTGTGGGAGACTTTTGTAAAGTGAATCAGTTTACAGTCAGCTGATTAATTGATCCAATGTTACCGCATTCAAGGAGGCACCTTTCCATTGTCTTCTCATTTTTTCCCAGCACATGTTATTTGTTAGGGAGGAAGCTGTGTGCATACGACATTGTATCAAGTTTATTAGACAGGCGTGGACCTTAAACTAGGAAAAGCTTAGTCTAGGCCCAAAATTTAAAACTCAACATTTCTATAAGTTGTGAGACAAGAGATACAAATTGCTTTTATGTGCTAGATTTGAGCATAATTTAAAAAAAAATTAATCACAAGAATATTTTTTAAGGCAGCCAGCATCTCCAGTTAGCAGTACTGACTCCCCCTGCCCCCACCCCAACAAAGGAACACTATATCAACACCCGACCCAGGTCTGAACACAGAAGACTCCTGTTTCAAGAAAATATAATCATCTCTCAAAGTCTTTAATTTATATACATTTTTAACTCACTAGGTATTGAAAGCCACCCAAGTGTCCCACAACATGGGGTAAAATATAATCAATCACTCAGTGTAATATTATACATCCTTTTAAAATGTTATTGGAAAATGTTTTATGATCTGTAAGTCGAAATAACCTCCCATCATTTCTTTCTCCCTGTTGCTCCCCCATACCCACGCTTCTTTGTTCCAATTGGCACGTAAACTTATTTTTCCCACCAAATGAGTCAGTCACGATGGGATCATCAATTGATTTGAGCAGATGTGTGTCAATGTTACTTGGAAAACTAGATGCTAATAACCAGGGATGTACAAAAAGGCAGTGGTTGCAACTCTAAAAATTTATGTGTACATACAGACAAGGACTAAAGTGGAACCCAAAACAGGAAAACAGTTGGATATACTCCAGTGCTGGGAGATTGAATGATTGTATGCTGCTTTTGATTTCTGTTAATATGGGCAGCCACCCAATTAAAAGGACCTAATAAGGACTCTGCAGTGCATATTATTTTGTGGATTGTTTTAAAGCACCATACCTTTCAAGTCATCAAGGTGGATAGGGTAGCAGGGGGCTGGATTTGTTCCCCCACCCACACCCTCTTCTGGACTACAGAGCTCAGGGCAACACTTGGAGAAAGCCTGATCCTGCACGGATGGGAGTTAACGTCTAGGCAACTTTCTTGAGAGACTGCAAGATGAAAATAATAAGTTCCCAAAGTATTTTTTTGGAAGATCGATGAAAATTGATTGGTAGGACCTGAAGACTTGAGTCAGGGGCTATATCCAAGTTGGCATACATTTTTAGAGCTCTATTTTCCCATTGACCTGCAGTGTAACGTCTTTATAACCCTAACACTTTATATATGCATTTGTATTTAGAATGATTACATTACTCTTAACTGAAAAAAGAGCACGTATATACCAGTTATAGCAAATGTGCATCTCCCTGCCACTCTATACACTACTCATCTCCCTCGTTAGTTACTTATTGCTCAGTAAATGAATAAATATTTGCTAGTTCTCTCCTAGTATTTCACCTATCTGCCACCTTTGCCTCCATCCTCCAAAGGCTGAGACCCCTCTGGGGATAATAAATTGAGCCATTAGGGAGGAGCCCTGAGAAGACTTTCATTTCTGGTTGCTCAGGCTCTGGAACACTCCCCTTACACTAGTGAGCTCTATAATCTGAGCAACAGTGGGACTGTGGGAGGTGGCCCTGGGAACTGAGAACCAAGGTATTGAGAGTCTGATTGTTTTGTAGTGTGATCTCCCCAGGCAGCTCCCTCACCTGTTCCCCCATCCACACCCCCACCTGTTATCCCAAGACCAGACCTTTTTAAGGCTTGGCCACAAAAAATACAATATTCAAAATCACAATAATCTCGATATCTTGCTTTTGTATCATGCATTTACATGCTTTTCCAAATGTTTTCACATTTTCTACTTGTAACAACCTCGAGAGATAAATAGAATAAGGCCGCCAAAAAATATATATATATATATAGACAAGAAAACTGGGGCTTCTGGAGGCTAAGAATTTGTTCAAGGCTAGTTTGGGGCCTCTTCCTCTAGAACTCATGCTGGAGGAACTGACTGCACAGTAGTGACTAGAGCAGGAAATGGAGGTGAATTAGTTTGGTTAGAAATATTCAACATGAAACTGATTTGTTTTATGATGAACTTTTCCCAACACACTGGACACTTCCCGGGTGAAGCCCAAGATTGGCTCCAGGATGACTAAATAGTGACTGTAAATTACCCAGCTGTGTAGAAGTAGACATACTCGAGCCAAAAAAAAAAAAAAGCATAATTTAAGTTCATTTAAAATCTGTCCTATATTTGGTACTTTCTATAGTTTCAACCAAATAGAATGTCCAACCATAGGGGTTAACTTAATTTAGTCACTCACTCAATGGAACCTTTTTCAGCCATTACAAATAATAATTATTAAGACTATCTAGAAACCTGGAAATTTTAAAAATCAGGGACATAAAATCACATGGACACCATGATTTAAAAGTGGGTCTGTATAGGAGCAAAAACTGGAAAGAACATGCAACAGATATACTTTTACTTAATGTGGTGGGATTTGCGCTAAAGTTTTTTCTTTCTCTACTTTTCCATGTGTTTTTGCTATGCATGTTTCTTGTTATGTTGTCAAACATAATTCTCTAAAAAGTCTTTAGGGGTCATGGGTGACAGAAATTTTGGGTCAAGGATGCCTAGACCTCAGACATCTCGGGGATCATCATGTCACGAGAGACCATTGTGCACTTGTGACAGATTGATAACTGAAAGGTCTGGGAGCCACTTATCTCCATAGCAATACAATTGGTAAGTATTACAAGACAAATTGATGACAAGATCAGAAGAAAAGTGGGCCCTGAGCAAGGAAGAAAGTGGTTGCCATGGTGGGAAGAGGGGAACGAGCTGTATGTTAATAGTTTAATGGGAGTTAGGTGTCAGACTTTGTGTCCTTCACTATTATTTTAAGTTTCCTTTTAATGAATTTAATGAATAAGATTTTATATTCATGCTAGAATGTTAAAGAATTTATGCTCAAACAACTGGAAAAACATTAGCTATAAGTATTGGAGACACAGGGTCGGTCATCTTTAAAATGTTGAGTTCATTTAAGTAGTCAAGAAAAAAAATTAAATGAACAAAAAAATCACAAAAAAGGATATATAAAAATGTTCATTTCAGTATTTTTAAGGATGGAAATTAGGAACATCCTGACCAACAACAAAGAATTGGGTAAATAAAATGTGGTACCTCTAATACGTGACATGAGAATGTGCTCCTATGAAATATTTGGTGATAAAACAAATGTGCAAATTTTTTGCACTGTTTCGATCTATGCAATCTAAGTATATAGGGAGCATTCTGTATGCAGCTTTGTTTCAATATACAGATAAAAGGCTAGGAGGAAATATACTAAAACTTTAATAGTGGTTATTTCTGAATTGTGGAATATTAAGTGATCAAAGAAAGATGCTGAACTATTTTTGCGATGTGTTCCTAATATGTAATATAAATGTATTGGGAACATTTTGCATTCATAGTTTTGTATCAATAATATGGAAAGACAGCTAGAAGGAAATATACCAAGTCTATCCAAGAAAGATGCTAAACTATTTTTGCGATGTGTTCCTAATATGCTATATAAATATATTGGGAGCATTTTGCATGCATGGTTCAGTATCAATGTACAAATAAAAGGCTGGAGGGAGTAAACTAAAAATTTTATAACAGTTATTTGTGGGTTATGATATGATAACGTGATAAAAGTAAGGTACAAAATTATTTTTGCAATATGTTCCTGAATATGTAATATAAGTATATTGGGAACATTTTGCATCCATAGTTTTGTAACAATATTTAGAGAAAAGGCTAGGAGGAAATATACCAAAATTTAATACTGGTTATTTCTGGGTTCTGGTATTATAGATGATAATGTGTTTTTTTCTTTATACTTTTATGTATTTTCTGAGTAATACTTGTATAAACAACAAAATGTATTACTTTTATAGCCATAATAAAACATTTTATTTTTTAAAAGATTTTTTTTTTCTTTAAAGGCATGGGCCCCTGACCTGAGGATGGGAAGATGGGGAAACACTTCCTATTTGGGCAGCAGCGGGCCTAGAATACATTTTCAAACCCATCTGGGCAAACCCTACATAGCTTTGGTTGGCTCTGCAGTGCAAGTGTGTGTTATCATTTGCTCTTGCCAAAGGAAAGAGAAAGTATAATTTTAAAATGTAACCATGACAGAATAATAATAGTAATATTGCTAAACAGACTGCTTGCTCTCTCCTATCCAGAAAATTGAAACAGATTGCTTTTCCTCTATGACAAGGGTTCCCAACCCCCGGTCCATGGACCAGTACCGATCTGTGGCCTGCAGCAAGTGAGCGGTGGCGAGTGAGCGAAGCTTCATCTGTATTTGCAGCCGCTCCCCAGCGCTAGTATCACCGCCTCAGCTCCACCTCAGATCATCAGACATTAGATTCTCATGGGAGCACTGGTCCCTGGTGCCAAAAAGGTTGGGACTGCTGCTCTAGGAGCAATTCAGGACGGTGGGACTTTGATGCTTGCCCAGGGCCTCAAGACCTGTTGGCCATGCCTGAGTCAGGAAAACACCTTATAGAAAGTCTAATTCCACTTAGCTAACTTTCTGCAGATGCAGATAAAGCCCCTTGCATTTTCCTCCCAAGTCTGCTGAGCTCCATGACAACCCTGGTGTTGACGAACATGTGACATTTGAATTTAGGTTTTCTATGTCCTGTTAAGAGAGAGACAACCATTCAGAAACATATCAGGCCCATGGCCTGACAAGACACCTACCAAGGCTTTGAACGTTTCTCGATTGCACTGATTTGAACAGAGACACCACATTAGAAGAGGACCTACAGTCCTTTCCATGCTTTTAGAATCACTCTGGGGAAACTTTTTCTCCCAAAGACTTATTTGCACTCTGTAGCAAGCCCATATTAATAGACATTACTTCAAAATATGTCCATCCTATTCCTGAAAGAAGCTGTATTTGTGAGGCCAAAATATATTTTGAGAACATTCTTTCAATTTCCTGATGCCAGGCCCTTCCTTGTTCTGCTTAAGAACCAAACGTGTCCTTTTGCGAAATGTGTGCTCCTCTTTAAGTCTTTCATAAACAGTTTTCTCTGCTGCATTCGATCAATCAGAACACATTTTCCGAGTGCCTAGCTCTGTGCTACTCACTTGTAGGGAGAGGATAGGACTGGAGAGAAGTGGGGGTTAAAGTGATACTGAGCCAGAGCAGCCTTGAACACAGGAATCCTTTTCTCTGGCTGCTACCGGGTACAGAGCTGGGATCAGCTGGGGCTTTGACCTTCTTCTGAGCCAGGTCGGACCACACAGAATCTGCTTTGCTCAGCTGAATTATCTGGTGTCCTCCTTTCCCCCAGGCTTCGCTCTGGTCTCTGCTATACACAAAGTTGGGAAAGGGGAAGAGTGTGGGAGGGTCCTCTTCCTAAATGAGAGAGAGAGAGAGAGAGAGAGAGAGAGAGAGAGAGAGACAGAGAGAGAGAGAGACAGAGAGACAGACAGACAGACAGACAGACAGACAGAGACAGACACAGAGACAGAGAGACACAGAGAGAAAAAGGGAGAGAGATCTTTAATATAAGCACTGACCTTAAACTCTTCTCATTTACCAGTGAAAAAAGCTCCAGCCCCCGCTGAACCAACAGTGTCCTAGAATTTGGCTAATACAGAGAGCACTCCTCCTAGTCCGAGAGAATGCCAAGAGGGGATGGGATGATGGGGGATGTGGGGGCAGGCGCAGGAGCCGGAAGCTGCCCTTTGCTAACCAATCAGGTCAGTGCAATCCCTCATTTTACAGAAGAGGAAACTGAGTTGCAGAGAGAGGAAATAACTTGCAGAGAGGTCATGCAGAGAATTGGTAACAACGTTAGAACTTGAACCTTGATCTTCAGTGCTCTTTCCAATGTAATGCACT